CCCCGGAATATATGTCCCTTTTCCTTCCCCTGGGAACGAACCACTGCTGCCCGCCCGCTGGCAATCTGGAACTCCTCATGGCCAACCCGTCTTCCCTCCAAAATACCTGATGGGCTTGGAAGCTGGGATTGTAAGACCCCCCGGGGGCGATGACCTCCACGGCCGGCAGCTGCGACGGAGTCTTCAGCAGCCTCCCTGGTCGCTATGGGGAAAAACAAGGGAAGATTGAGCGGGCCTCACGGCTCCCACCTGTCTTCCCCCAGCCAAGCCCTCCACCGATGCCGCTTGGAAACTGATCTCCCCGCCTTACTTTCACTGGCTTCTTTTTGGTCTGCTCCAAGAACCACGTGTCCTTCCCAGCTAGGACTTGATCCAGGGGATCTAGATGGAAGAGGAGAGAAGAACTCACCACCAGTCAGTGTCAGGAGACGGCGGGCTTTTTTTAAAAAAAATCAAATTTGCTTTAGTCAGAGGAGAAGGTGCATATTGTACCACTGCTTAAGAGTATCAGAAGAGCCCTGGTGGATCAGACCAGAGATTAAACTAGTCCAGCATCCTGTCTCACACAGGGGCCAGCCAGTTCCTCTGGAAGGCCAACCACAGGGCAGAGAGGCCGAGGCCTTCCCCTGATAAGAACCTCAGAAGAGCCCTGCTGGATCAGACCAGTGAGGGTCCATCTACTCCAGCATCCTGTCTCACACAGCGGCCAGCTAACACTATATAATATAAAAAATACAAATGTTTATTAAGGTGTACACATGTTAAGGAGCTGTGGTGGCTCAAGTGGTTAAGACGCTGAACTGCAGGCTGTGGAAGGTCAGTAGTTTAGCAGTTCAAGACCCGGGTGCCGCAAGATGGGGTGAGCTCCCGTCTCTAGTTCCGGCTCCTGTCAGCCTAGCAGTTCGAAAGCAAGAAATTGCAAGTAGATAAATAGGGACCACTTCGGTGGGAAGGTAACAGCGTTCCGTGCACCTCGGTGTTTAGTCATGCCGGCCACATGACCACGGAAACATCTTCGGACAGCGCTGGCTCTTCGGCTTTGAAACGGAGATGAGCATCGCAACCCTAGAGTCGGATTCGACTGGCTTTCGAGCAAGGGAAACCTTTACCTTTGTTAAAACATACTATGATTAAAAGATGGGAGTCTAAATTTCAGACTTTTAAAAGCTTTTCTAATACAAATACACTTGACGGGTAAACACTTTTTAACTTAGGAGATGGTTAGACAGTGTCACAGATGCAACGAACATGAAGTTGAGCAAACTTCAGAGGACGGCGGAAGACCGGAAGGCCTGGCGTGATCTGGTCCACGGAGTCGCGAAGAGTCGGACTCAACTGTGCGACTGAACAACAACAAACGTGTTTCAGCCCCTTTGGGCCTTCCTCAGTGGTCACTATTCTCTATATTACAGTGACACACATCCAAAATACACGTATAAAAGGTTTTTTTGTGTGTATATGTATATAAAAAACCAGATGTTGTTTCCTTATATGTTTTTAGTTATGCTACTAGCTTATATGTTGGGCCACAAATATAGCTATGCCAATTCTTCAACTTATTCTGGTATCAGAGATTTCATTGGCCTGGATGTGTGTCACCTCCATCAAAGGTAATGATCATATAAGGAAACAACACTGGTTCCCACCATGGCTAGTGGCCGCTGATAGACTTTTCTTCCATGAGTCTATCTAACCCCCTATTAAAGCCGCCGATGCCTGTGGCCATCACTACATCCCTTGGCCAGGCTACCTGTGACTAAATAATCAACTGGAAAGGGGGCTGGAAATCCACGTTCTCAGTTCAAGCTCATCCCGTCACACCCTAGGGGGTTAGATCTGGAAACACCGTTTCCTCTCCCACCTCTCCGAACACATCAGCCTAGGATTAGAATCCTCAACTGACCTGACGGCGTGTCCTGGAAAGGTAGGGATGGGAGGGAATTCATCTCACGAGTACCTTGACCGAGAGTGTAGTTAATCCTTCTTAAGCAACTACCGCGATTCCCCCGAGACCCAATCTAAATTTTTGGGATTACGGGGAGGTTCCGGTAGGCGCAGGAGAAATGTGCTGAGGGGAGAAAGGGGGGGGACGAGATCTGGCTCACTTTCCGGGTCTGTGGCAACCCCGGGCCCCCCCAAAAAACTGGCAGAGGCATCCGTCTCATGCTCCAGCAGTCCCCGCAGGGGAGCGGAGTGCGTGGGCGGGTGGTTACGTCCCTGCCACCCATGAGAACCGGACGGTGCAGCCTCAGGTGAGGTCACTGTGTGCTCTAAGGTGCTAAGATTAGCCCTGGACCGCAGACCAGTGCAAGTGTTTGTGGGGGAGAGGCAGACGGCAAGGACGGACGCAGCAGACGTGAGAGGGAGGGGGAAGGCAGGACGGCAGGCAGGCGGAGGGGGTCGACGGACAGGTCAAAAGGGCTTCCGCTTTTCTTCTCGGAGACACATGCTGAATCAGTACTGCCGGACCTCGATGCACATTCGGATGCCCTTGCCGCAAATTCGGAAGCGACGGCTAGTGCAAAATGCTGCAGCCGGGCTTTTAATGGGCCTCCCCATGCGGGAGCGCATCCGGCCTGTGCTGAAGGCACTGCACTGGCTACCGATAGCACATACCAAATTCACTTCAATGTCCTGGTTCTTACCTTTAAAGCCCTTTATGGCCAGGGACCTACATATCTGAGGGACCGCCTTTCCCCACATGTTCCCCAGAGAGCACTGAGATCGGGGCCCCAAAATCGACTGACCCTCCCCGGACCCAAGGATGCCAGGCTGGCTACAACCAGGGCCAGGGCTTTCTCGGTGGCGGCTCCTCTCTGGTGGAACGAGCTCCCGGAGGAGATCGGGGCACCGCGGGACCTGATGCAGTTCCGCAGGGCCTGCGAGACGGAGCTCTTCCGCCAGGCCTTCAACGAGGAGCCGCCCTGATAGAGAACCCGTTCCCTGACGTTGTCAGAACAGCCTGCGCCACCGGCACAAAGGCTTGACCGCTAGGATAAAGGTTGGCCGCCATCTTTTAATCGTGAAGCTTTAATCAACTAATAATTTATTAGTAATATTAATGTTAGCACCTTTTAATGTTGGAATGTTTTATATGGTTTTATGATTATTTAGTGGAGCTGCGGTGGCTCAAGTGGTTAAGACGCTGAACTGCAGGCTGTGGAAGGTCGGTAGTTCAGCAGTTCGAGACCCGAGTGTGCCGCATGAGGGAGGGAGCTCCCGTCTCTAGTTCCAGCTCCTGCCAACCTAGCAGTTCGAAAGCAAGAAATTGCAAGTAGATAAACAGGTACCACTTCGGTGGGAAGGGAACAGCGTTCCGTGCACCTTGGTGTTTAGTCACGCCGGCCACATGACCACGGAAACGTCTTTGGACAGCGCTGGCTCTTCGGCCTCGAAACGGAGATGAGCACCGCAACCCTAGAGTCGGACTCGACTGGCTTTCGAGCAAGGGAGACCTTTACCTATGATTATTTAAACTGTCTACTTGTGTGTTTTTAGGCTTTGCTGCAAGCTGCCCTGAGCTGGCCTTGGCGGGGGGGGGGGAAATATAAATCTGATAATAAATAAAACATAAAATGAAGTGATACCCAGCGCTCTCCGTCTCCAGAGCCGGAACTGCCCGACATGCTCTGAAAGCAGCCATGTATTATGGGGAAGAAGGGGGAAATTCCCCTGGAGGCACAAAACCCACAAGACCGCCATTGTGCCAGAGGGCACGCCTAGCTAGGGAGCTATTCCGACAGGCAGGCTCTTTTTGTAGCAGGAACTCCTTTGCATATTAGGCCACACACCCCTAAGGTAGCCAATCCTCCAAGAGCTTACAGGGCTCTTCTTACAGGGGCTACTGTAAGCCCTTGTAGGATTGGCTACCTTAGGGGTGTGTCGCCTAATATGCAAAGGAGTCCCTGCTACAAAAAGAGCCCTGCAGAGACTTTCGGCCCCCTTCGCAGCCCCGCGGATGACTCAGCAGCTCCCCCCGATCCCAACACAGCTGGTAAGAGGATCTAGGATACTGCAGCTCTCAAGTATTCCTCCCTGTTGCCGCCGGAAGCCCTCACACGTTTGCACAGCCTCTGGGACAGGTAGAGCTACAAGCGCTGTTCCCTGTAAGCTGAGTTAGTGTGAGCGAGCTCACAGTTTTTGAGCTTCCGGCTCACACATTTTTGTCTTAGCTTGGGAAGGAGGGCTCCAGAGCAAACGAATGTATGCAGTAGCCAAATCGCTGGCTCACAACTTTAATGTCAGTAGCTCACAAAGTAGATTTTTTTGCTCACAAGACTCCACAGCTTAGAGGGAACATTGCTCCAGAGCCAAACTAATTGATGCAGCCGCCAAACCGCTCGCTCACAGCTTTCATGTCGGTAGCTCACCAAGTAGGATTTTTGCTCACAGGACCCCACAGCTTAGAGGGAGCGTTGGTTACAAGCCCCAGTGTGTCCCATTCACAAGCATGTCCCCGGATTGTCAGAGAATCCTTCGGCCTCTGGATGGATCCAGTGCTGCCCCCACCTGGGCAGACGCTGGTACTGCACCTGAAAAAAGTTTTGCCAGCAGTGGCCAGAGTCGGAGGGCCTTTGTAATGGCCACTGTAATGGGGCAAGGCGAGAAAGGATGCGATTTCTAATGCGTCACATCGTCTGTGTTGGGGGGGGGAATGGAGGGGCCAGTGAAGCTAGAGGGGACTCGAAGGCTTCCAGGGGTAGCCTCTGTGCAAGGAATAGCTGTCTACACACTAGACATCCCCCCCAACACAGTACTCCATCTCAGCCCATTCAGCCAGGTAGAAGAAGAGATTGGATTTATACCCCACCCTTCACTATTTGAAAGTGTCTCAGAGCAGCTCACAACCTCCTTCCCACCCCCCTCCCCACAAGAGGCACCCTGTGAGGTAGGCGGGGCTGAGAGAGCTCTTTTGAGGACTGCTCCCGAGAGAACTGTGACTGACCCAAGGTCACACCAGCTGGTCGCATGGGGGAGGCGTGAGGCGTGGGGGAATCAGTCTCGGCTCTCCCAGATTTAGAGTCCGCGCTCCTAACCGCTACACCAAACACAGCAGACAACCAATTCCACTGGAGGGCCGACAACAGGGCACAGAGGCAGAGCCCTGCTGGATCAGACCAGTGAGGGCCCATCTAGTCCAGCATCCTGTCTCACACAGGGGCCA